TTTACCAAGGCACCTTTTAGAGACGTCACGTTAGGCGGGAGCGCCCAGGAGCCGGGAGCTGTACATTTTCTGTATATCAGCAGTTCTATAAATAGAAATGATGTATTTGTGAGATACAAAACAAGGAAAAAAAAGACAAAAAAAAAGAAATATACCCACAAAAACTCTCTCTTCATAATGCACATATTTTTATAGAGAAACGATACTGGGTTTTGCATTACCTGTGACTCCGCAACTGGGTGGCGTTTCCTCGGTTTTATGTGGAACTAATTACTACGGCCATTCATTTCCCAAACGTTCCTCCTCTTTCTCCGCTTTCAGTTTTTCCCTCTCCTGCCCTCCACCATCATCCCACCAGCTTCTTTTCACAGCAGATGCTTTCGACGTCTCCCTCGTTTTTCTTTTGTACTTTAGAGGTTGTCCTAACTACAGAATTTTTTTTTTTTTAGGGGTTTTCCAAACTAAAAAAAAAAAAAAAAAAAAACCAATCACTACTGAATTGTAGCCAGTGCAATAATAAGTTATTCATTCTTCTTGTCTAAACAACTGTCCTGCTGCTTTTTTTTTCTCCTTTTTTAACTGAAATTCAGGTTAAATGTCGCAATAATCTGAACCAACGTGCACAAACGCGGTCTCTTGTGTTACAAAGAAAAAAAAAAGATGAAAAAAAAAGGCAAAAGTTAGATTTACAGAGAGCTAAAAAACCAAACCAAATAAATAGTAAATTATTTAAGAAATGTATTTTGTTTACTGCAGTTCAAAGTAAATTATTGCTACAGCGTGTAAAGAGCTGCCTTAGGTGATGATGTTCCTCGCGAGCATTTCAGCGACCGCGCTGTGCTCCTCGTAGCAGAATGCCTTCGGCACCTCGGGGCCAGCCGTGACCCTCCCGCTCGCCCTCCTCCTTCGGTCGTCCCTCCGCACCCCGGCACCCGCGCTCGCCTCCCACAGCCCTCCTGGACTGAGAAGCCTCGAGAGGAATTCAGGTCACCTCTTCACACCACTTCTTTTTGTTGTTTTTTTGTTGGGTTTTTTTTTTTTGCAGTTTGGGGGTTGATTTGTTTTCTTTTTTAGCCGCCGGTCCCTGTCCACCCCTCCTCCAGGCCCTCTCACCGTGGGACAGCCGTCAGCCCCAGCGCCGGGCAGACGGGGGAAAAAAAAAAACAACCCAAGAAATTAAAACAAATCGTTTTTGTTGGGTTCGTTCCATGCCACCTCATATTTATGCATTCACATATATCTTCTGTTATTTATGCATTCATTACTCAAAAAGGAAATGTATCTTGTTTCACATGTATTAAACTGTATAAACTGGAAGCGTGGCCTGACTTTGTGCCGCAGAGCGGGGTGGAGCCGGGACGCCGAGCCCCGCTCCCATCCCGCTGCCCACAGCCCAGCCCGAAGGGCTCTGTCCCGCTCCCGGAGCTCGGCGTTCCCTAAAACCTTTCCCAAATCTGGCTGCCCGAGTTTTTTTTGCTCCCACCTCCCGCTCGGCTCCTGCACCAGGGGAGGGATTCGCCGAGCGGCACCAACGGATCCCTCACCTGGTGCAGGAGCATCCAGATGTCGAGCTGCTTCGTGCCGGCCGCCTCCAAGCACGTGCGCCGCTGTAATTAAGAGTCATCTCGGATTATCATAAATAATTATTCCGTCTCGGTGGGATAGCAAGGAATTCCAGGAAAAACATCATAAAAGCAATTATTATTAGCGCTTTGGGGATGACGGCAAACTCTTTTTCGTTGCAGTTGAAGCAGCGGACTGGAAATTCCCCTGCACTGGGCTGAATCCTGCCTGGAGGAATCGGCACAGCTGCTCGTGGTGTTACTCGCTGCTGGAATTATCGAGCTTTGCTGGGCAAGGCGGCATTCCCCAGGCCCAAATCCCCTCCTCCATACCCCAGAGCTCGGCGAAAAGCCTCTCACCAGGTGCCAAAACCTGGATTTTGCAGCGGGGGGGTGCTGTTTGTTTTATTTTATGCTAGCAGAAATGTAAAAGGGAGGAAAAGAGGTGCTGACTCTGCCTGTCACCAAGCCAGGACCAGCATCACGATGGGCTGGGACAGGACAGGCATCTCCCACTCCACTGTGGCAGCTGGAGACAGAGGAGAAACCGGTGGAGCTCACCCCAAACACACAGCAAGTGTTCCATCTGAACATGAGGAAGAACTTCTTCCCTCTGAGGGTGACAGAGCCCTGGCCCAGGCTGCCCAGAGAGGCTGTGGAGTCTCCTTCTCTGGAGATATTCAAGATCCGCCTGGACAAGGTCCTCTACAACCTACTGTAGGTGACCCTGCTTCGGCATGAAGGTTGGACTAGATGGCCCACAGAGGTCCCTTCCAACCCCTACTATTCTGTGATTCTGTGATTCTGTGATTGGGTTTTATCTCAAGAGGGAATTTGTTCAAACCAACACGTTCCGTGGCGTCGGAGCCTTGCGCAGACTGCCAGCAGGGAAGGGGTTTGTTACGGTGTTGGGAATAAACCCTGGTGAAGCCCCAGCAAGAGGAGCCCCGGGGTGCCACAGGCGATGGTAGGGAGGTCAGGTGGGCTCTTCCGGGGAGCAGGGGAGCAGCAGAGGGAAAGCCTCCGCACAAAGGAAAAGAGCCTTTCCCATCGCCTTCCCCAAGCAGCTTTCCAAATTCACGGGGGTCTGAGGCACTGCAGCGGGCTCTGAGCCGTAACAACTCCCTCCACGAGCCTGCAGGAACACCCAGGCAGCGTGGGGAGGAGAGCCAAGCTCCGACGGAATTTCCTAAGGCCAGAATGAATCGCTCCCAATGTCTCTTTGGGGGCGGTCACCCAGACATCCAGGTACAAAACCCCCGAGCTCCCGGAGCTGCATCCTCTGCCCAAACCTGGCCATGACCAGCTGCGCCAGGAAACAGTTTAACCTCACCCAGCGTTCATTTCCCTGCCGACTGAGTCCCCGCAACGTTAAGCAATTGCCACCAGGCTGGCTGCAAGGGTCGCGCTGCTTGCTATCAGAAGCGAAATGCAGCGGGTAAATGCAAGTCATTATTTAACTCGATTGATTTCTATTTTGCATTTTGAATGACAATCCAGCCGCCTCCATTTGTCAGCCAGACTGTTTTGGCAAAACCACGGCTGCAGGGACAGCAGCGCTGCATCAGTCTGGGCTCACCTTCGGCAGCCTTTGAGGAGCGGGGATCAAATGAGGATGAAAAATCACCGTCCTGAGGAAGGGGCAGAGGAAACCATCACAAAGCGACTTGAAGAGCCTTCAGATGGTCTCTGTTGCAAGGTTAACTCTCAGATGGCATCGACCTGAAATTTCCTTTCTTGCACTGGGGAGGAAAAACTAAAGCATTAAAAAAAAAAACCAAACCAAACAAATCTGAATCCATCCCCAGTGCAATCAGATACAACCTTTAATCTGTCAGTGCTGCGAGATCATACAGGTTGCATGAATACTAATAAGCATTTGATATTTGTACAAGCTTTCTTAGGATGAATAATTAAATTGACTTTATCCATTAAACCTTTCCTATTAAGCTTTAAACACAGCAATGTGTTTTAATGGCTGGGGCCATCTCGCCTTCCATATGGGGGAGCTTAATTAGAAATCTGAGTGCAGCCTCCCAGAGCCACAGCCCCAGCAGCAGGGGCTGAGGGGCTGAGATCTCCACCTCCTTTGGGTTTTTTTTCTTTAAGCAGCTCAACGTGTGTATCTGCCTCAATCCTGCCAGGCCCTGGAACAACTCGAGCTCTCACCGGATGGGAGCTCGATCCTCTTCCAGCGAAGCGACGTTAACGCTGGCTTCTCCCATGATGGGTTTCAGCCCCCTGCCCCAGCGCCGGCTGGGAGGGAGCAGAGGGGCTGCTCCGCGCCGAGGGACCTGCAGCGGCACAGAGGAGCTCCCTGCTTCGGCACCGACGCACGCAGCTGCGTCGCCAGGAGGGTTCATACCCAGGTTGGGCTGTGACCAGGCCGGGCTGCTCCTCGCGCCAGGACCCTGCACCTGTAGGTCAGCGCTGGGGGTTTTTCCAGCTGCGGCCATTGGACTGTAAAAATCTGTTCGTGGAGAAAGAGAGAAAGTGTCAGCAACGCTGGTTACGTCACACCACGGGAAGGAAAACACATTAATTATTTGACTATTTGATTGAAATCCCCTGGAGCAGGTTATTGTCGGTTCTGCTTCGCCCCACTCGGAGCCACAGCTGCTGAAGGCCCATGGCGACCCAGGCTTTGCTGCAGACGCACACGCAGAGCGCGGCTCTCCCACCCGAGTCAGCCCCCGAAAACGCAGCCACGGCCGAGCGGGCGCCCGACGAGCAGGGGGGCTTCGCTCGCGTCCCTCCCCTCTCTGAGCCCAATTATTGCTCCTACTCCTTACACCCTTATCGAATCCGCCAGCACAGCTGGGAACCAGCTTCTCCAGCCCTCCTCGCCCTCTCCCTCTTCCTGCCTGCACGTTAATTTATCCTGACTGGCTCAGACCCAAGGCACTAATTAATTTTCCTCATTAACAAAAAGAAAG